CCCTTGGTGCTTCAGGGCTCAGTGAGCTCCGATGAGCGAAAATCCCAGCTGCCGCCCAGCAACGGTACGGCACGGGAGAACTAGTCACTCACTGTCAAACAGTTTCAGAGGCTGTTGGGCCTGATGGCAGCAGCATCCAATATGATACATTTTGGCCTGCTGTACATGAGACCCTTGCAGTGGTGGCTCAGAACCAAAGGATTTTCCCCGAGGGGGAATCCGCTTTGCATGATCAAGGTCACGCGGCGATGCTTACGTGCCCTAGACATGTGGAAGAAACGTTGGTTCCTGGTTCAAGGCCCGACGTTAGGGGCTCCTTGTCGTCGCATATCGCTAACGACGGATGCCTATCTCACGGGCTGGGGAAGCGGTCATGAGTGGCCGCTCTGCCCAGGGTCTGTGGGAAGGCCATCATCTCTTTTGGCACATCAACTGCCGGGAAATGCTGGCTGTGTTTCGACCTCTGACACACTTCCTTCCAGACCTAAGGGGGCATCATGTGCTTGTCCGCACAGACAACACATCGGTGGTCTCCTACATCAATCAGCAGGGGGGTCTGCGTTTGCACCCCTTATACAAGCTGGCGTGCCAGATCCTTCTGTGGGCTCAAGGGAAGCTCCTCTCTCTAAGAGCAGTTTATATCCCTGGGTATCTAAATCAGGGGGCAGATATCCCGTCGAGGCAGGGGCTGAGGCCCGGGGGATGGAGGTGAATGATAAGGTAATGATAAGCTCCACCACCTGAGGTGGTGGAGCTCATTTGGAGGGAATTTGGCCATGCGGAAATGGATCTATTTGCATCACAGGAACCGACACACTGTCCGCTCTGGTTCTCCCTCTCGCATCCAGCTCCACTGGGGCTTGATGCCATGGTGCAGACGTGGCCGAGGCTTCGTTTGTACGCTTTTCCCCTGATCGCTCTGCTCCTGGGAGTTCTGGAGAGGGTACGCCGGGATGGGGTCCGTCTGTTGCTAGTCCCTTCTCGACGGCTCTCCGCTGGAGATTTCGATCAGGAGGGACCTCCTCTCTCAGGTGGGAGGCGCCATTCATCACCCCCGCCCGGAGTTATGGAAGCTGTGGGCATGGCCCCTGAGGGGGCACAGCTCCTAGCATCTGGTCTCTCAACTGAGGTTGTTGAGACTATACTCCAGTCCAGAGCTCCCTAAGGTGTCCACTTCTTCACCAGGACCCATAGTACTTCAGGCATTCTGTCCTCCTCCGTACCAGGAAGTAGGCCAAGAAAGGCTTAATCTGCTCTGTCCAGTTCGAGCACTGGACTCTTACGCACACAGAGCTGCCCCGTGGCGTAAGGCAGATCAGATTTTGTTTGTTTTGGTCCGCCAAAGAAGGGATTTACGGTGACCAAGCAGACTATGAGTAGGTGGGTGGTTGAGGCCATCTCACTAGCCTACGAGTCCTCTGGCCTCCCGTCACCTATGGGGGTCAGAGCGCACTCGACCAGGAGTATGGGTTTTAACTTAAATTTCTCAATATCTCAATATTTAGATTTTTTTTTTTCACCCTCAGATTCCAGATTTTCAAATAGCTGTATCTCGGCCAAATATTGTCCTATTGCCCTAACAAACCATACATCAATGGAAAGCTTATTTATTCAGCTTTCAGGTGATGTATAAATCTCAATTTCCAAAAAAATGACTGGTTTTGTGGTCCAGGGTCACATAATATGTTCACCAAGAAGAAAACTCGTACAGGTTTGGAAGAACTTCAAGTAGTAGAAGAGTGAGTAAATGAAGACTGTATGATATCACAATAGCCAGAATTCTAAGCTATAAATAGAACAGATGTACCACAGAGGCTCATAACTGCAATAATTAAGACAGGATTTCAGTATTCACTGACTAACTCCTTTTAAAAAAAAAAAAAACACAGTTTTGACTGTTTCAGCAGCTCAGATGATTAGAGTCCAGTTAAAAATGCATTACGGTGGCCCTTTTGATGGGGCTTTCCACATGCATTACTTACTACAACTAGTACAACTACCAAGTGAAATAGCGCCATGCCATGGAAGCAGTTGTGTCTCGCGCACATTCTAAACCACGTGGTACAGCTGAGTATACATAAAACTACCAGAACTAGTCATATCACAAAGTCATATTTTACTGCAGCACATTCTCACTCCCAACTCATCATATATTGACGCTTGGTCAGGACCCCTTGGCATCGCTTTCAAGGTACCCCTTTAGCGTCATTTTTTAATGCACAGGGTACCCTTTTAGCATAAATTTTTGATGTGCAGGGTCCTCCATTGTTTTCAGTTGTTTACCTTAATTCAATGGTTTGCATGCATTTGTAATATTAGAAATAATTTTATATAAATGTATACTTTCATTGGAGCACCTAAACCCACCCACTTCTGAACAATATAAAACACGTAACAGGTAAATAGAAGAACAGTCGCAGGTATTTATTGCAAAATCTGACCCAAAAAAAGCAGTATAAATGTATTACAAACAAGTTGTGTTGCATTCTGAAGCCATGCGATATCTTTTTGCGTAGAAGAGAGTAAAACAAGGTTTTAATCGCTGAAAATGATCCTGCTCTGTTAATGTGCTCACATCTCATTCAAAAAGATACTCCCATAGCAAGATGCAATCGGTCACGAGACACACAAGAGCCAATGGCATTTCACAACCAAGGCTGACATAAGGCTTCGTCTGGCAGCAATTTTTGAATTTGCACACAGACTGCACACAGGATCCGAGCTTTACGGTGGACGGAGATGGCGATCGTGTCTATTCCTCTCACAAATCAATAGTTTTGCCTCGGAAGACTTGGAATGTTAATATTTTTTAAAATAAATTATTACTGTATTTATATCTGCCTGTTATAGCCTGTGTTTTATTGACAAATGGTAGGTTTAGGGGCAAGGGTTGGGCTATGTGCTCATAAATGTGTAAATAGTGTAATGTAAATGAAATTGTTGTGACTGTTTACATTGAAAAATCACACCCCAACATATATGCAATAACGGCAATATTATTACCCAATATATAATTTAATAATGATGATAAAATTCCCAATGCCTTTCGTGTCGGCATATTGACCTTATTTAAATAAGCTGTCATATTTAAAGCAATGGAGGACCCTGCATGTCAAAAAATTAGGTTAAAGGGTACCCTGTGCATCAAAAAGTAACTCCAAAGGGTCCTGACCAAGTGTCAATATGTGACGAGCTGGGAGTGAGAATGTGAAACACATTCTTGTAAGTGTTAAAGGGGTCATCGGATGCAAAATTCACTTTACCTGTTGTTTGAACATAATTGTGTGTTGGAAATGTGTGTACACATCCACCCTATAATGCTAAAAATCCACCCGTGTTTTTTTTTTAAATCCCTTACCTTAGACCCGCCCTGAGTGAGCTGTGAGCTGTTTGCCATTGTGTTGACTCCGGTGCAGGGGAAGACAAGAACGTCTCCGATCTAAAGGGTACCCTGTGCATCAAAAAGTAACTCCAAAGGGTCCTGACCAAGTGTCAATATGTGACGAGCTGGGAGTGAGAATGTGTTGTTTATTGAAACACATTCTTGTAAGTGTTAAAGGGGTCATCGGATGCAAAATTCACTTTACCTGTTGTTTGAACATAATTGTGTGTTGGAAATGTGTGTACACATCCACCCTATAATGCTAAAAATCCACCCGTGTTTTTTTTTTAAATCCCTTACCTTAGACCCGCCCTGAGTGAGCTGTGAGCTGTTTGCCATTGTGTTGACTCCGGTGCAGGGGAAGACAAGAACGTCTCCGATTAAGTAATTGAGGCGTTTTGTTGTTGGATGTAATAATGACCATTGCAGTCGTCATTTACTCCTGACATCTGAGCCGCTGAAGATGCAGAGGATTAACGTTACTTTCGTTTTTGAAGGGAATGCGCTGATCCCCGATCTGCCTAAATGCATTTATGTTTGTGTGAATCATTCATGATCCAGCTTCATCTACAGAAGAAGTGAGTATAAGGGTTTTTTATGAATCTTTGCAAACCGCCTTTCCTAATATGTGCTAGTTAGCAAGTTTCGCGGCTGAAGTTTACAGTCTGCTCGTCACCCCACGGAAGTGAGGTGCGGGGTCAGCAGAGCTCATTAGCATTTAAAGCAACATGGACTAAAACAGCGTGCTGAAAACAGAGCTGATTTTGACAGGGTAAAAAGGGTGTTTTTTACACTACCGTTGAGAAATTTGAACCAATGTATGTTATAGACTTTTCATTAAGACCCTAAAGAATCATATCAACTTGTGGAAAATGGGCATCCGATGACCCCCTTTAAAAGTTACCCAAGCCAACTTGTTTTACATGACATGACACCCTCCTGAGAGTGAGAACGTGAGCTGGACACAAGGTCACGGTTCGTTTTAGGATTGTAAATGCTTTTGAAGAAGAGGCTCCCCTGTCACTACTAGCATAGCACCATCTACAGGTGTGGTGTTGAACACCAGAGAAAGCTTTGTCATTGAATGGGCATTAGATAGGACATGAGTGTGTGGAGGTGAAATGGACATCAAGTTTTTGACGTCAGTTTGATTTTGGGACACGTTTCAAAAGGAAATATAGCGAATCGATGCTGTCTGAGGCCCCAGTTAAGAAAAAATTTACCTTAACCAGGCTGACAAAGAATTCCTATTATGTAATAAATATCAATAAAACACACAAATCATTGATGTAATGTTAATATGACATCAATTTGACGTCTAAACCGCAACATTGATTTGATGTAAACTGAATGTCAAACACTTTGGCCTGCATATACATTAAACCAATTTCAGTGTGAGTATTAACTTCATATTTTCACCCAATTACCACAGCAAATTGCTGTCCAAACTGACCTTAAAATGGTGTTATAAAGCATCTTGATCAAGTCTTGACTAACTTTTGATGTCAAATTGATATCAATTGATATCAAGGTGCCTGCTGGGACAGCAACTGTATTTCATGCTCATGTCTAGCATTGCTGTATCTTCTGAATGTTTTTTTCTTTTCATGCCTTTCAGACTTGAATTTAAAAACTCAAACGAGAAGTGCTGTCTCTGTGCGAGAAGGCCAGGGGGTCGTTTTACTTTGTGGTACACCATCATATGCAGGAGGTAAGGCATTTATAGTGTTACTTTTTTGGTTTATAGTCTAGTCTAGCATAAATATGCTGTACATTTGTGAAATACAGAGTTCTGACTTTTATCAGTGTGCTCCATGAGATTTAATGTGTTTTTTGAATGGTTGCTTTGTCTAAAATTGTTTTTCGAGACCATAGGATTCAAACACTTTTTAATAAATTAATTTTTATTTTATTTGTTGCACCTTGTGGCCTCTAAAAATGTTTACAAATTTGAAGGACTTAATGGCTTTCAAGCTAGTGTGCGAGTTCATTCATTTGATCTTTGAATCTACGCCTGACACCTATGTCAGAGTATTTTTTTATTTTTGTTTTTAATATTGTTTGGCTTGACATTCTTTTTAGTGTTTTATAAAGATGCATTTATCACCGCTTAGGATTCTAATTACCGTATGATCATTTTAGATACACCTGGGTCAGATTTCAGAAGTGCTATTGGAAAAGAAAAATGTTATGTGCCCTAATGATTATACCAGATATTACAAAGAATTTAAGTTCCCAAGAGTGTTTGGCTAACCTAGTTGATTTGTTTTGATTTATATATGTTTTGTTCCCCCTCTCCTTTCCAGATCTCTCATTTGCATGGGTCTTTAATGAGTACCCTTACTTTGTTCAGCAAGACAATCGTCGCTTTGTCTCTCAGGAGACGGGAAACCTTTATATCGCCAAAGTCGAGCCCTCAGATGTGGGTAACTACACGTGCGTGGTGGTAAACCGCATCACTAAAGGCAAAGTCCTCAGCTCCCCAACCCCTCTGGTACTACGAACTGATGGTAAATATCTTCTTCTTTTTCAGTGGGCAATTTAGTAGGCAGAAGCTAGCATAGCACTAAAGGGTTTGATTGACCTGTTGATGCAGTTAAGCATCAGGTTTGTTTGAATTGTGTTAGTGCACTTGCTGTAGGAGGTCCCACCAGCTCCATCTTCCACCACGTGCATATAGAATTAAATAAATAAAGAGCTTTAATGTAGTGTATCCAGTAAAATAATAAAATTAAAACTTCATTACTGTAACACACAACTATGCCCAAGTAATATTAAATATTAAAAACATTAAGTGCTCAAATTAAATAGTTCACATGTTCTTATACAACATTAGATAAATTATGTGTCTAGCTGGGCTAACAGCAAAGTATATATATATATATATATATATAACTAGGACTAAGGTTCAGTTTCCAAGGTGGAATAAACAAATATATGTTGTTGTTGTTGTGTTTGTTTGTTTTTTTCTTTTTAATAGATGAATTAACAGGATCTTAAATTAGTTACATTTTAGATTTCACTAATTTGATTAACTTAACCCTCTAAATAGACCTTTACAATATTACCACCATTGTCTATTTTTAATTTTTTACTTGCTATAAGACTGACATACAGTGTGTGTGTGTGTGTGTGTGTGTGTGTGTGTGTGTGTATTAGCAGAATTTTAAATTAGTGCCATATTAGATTTCACTAATTTGTTTAAATTAATTAACCCTACCCTCTGAGTTCACCATACAACAATATTACCACATATAATTAAGAAGATACATTCACATGTGATATGATTTAAAAAGCATTACAACTAAACTTGAAACAAAATATTAGTCAATCAAGCATTTTTGGCTGGTAGTAATGTTTGACATATTGTTGGGGTAACAATAATAGTATATTTGAGAATAGTATTAAAAACAGAAATGCAAGTGTAATAACCTTGGTTGGCACTTGGTTCCAATGGTTTACTAAATGTATTGAATCATGCAGATGTATAGTTGATTTTTATCTCTTTCTTTGTATTTGGACTTTAAATGTAACACTAATTTATTTTGCTTAGGATTTGAAAGCAACACCGAAAACACTTTCTCTGGTGTCGACTTGACAGCATGTTGACACCATGCAAACACTTTTTTTAATGTAACAAGACAGTGTAAATTAGTTTTAGACAGTGTTTTTTAGAAGTCAGAGCTTCGTAGACAACCCTGCTTACTCTCAAGAAATGCTTTCACAGTCCTAAATATACTTAAAGTAAACACAAACAATGGCTGGATAAAATATTTACAGACACTGTAAAAGCTGCAGCAAACACCACAGTGTAAATTAGTTTTAGACAGTGTTTTTTAGAAGTCAGAGCTTCGTAGACAACCCTGCTTACTCTCAAGAAATGCTTTCACAGTCCTAAATATACTTTGCCATAAAGTAAACACAAACAATGGCTGGATAAAATATTTACAGACACTGTAAAAGCTGCAGCAAACACCACACCTCTCCACGTTGTGTCAGACTCCAGATGATGGTATGAATAATTTGTTGCCTTTGTTTTAGCTGCTTGTTCTCAGGGGGAAAAAAACTGTTCACCTACTAACACTCTTTGGTATCTATCGTATAATGCATTTTCTACTATTATACATAATCAGTGAATGAATTATGAATGAAAAAAGTAAAGTAGTTTTTTTTTTACTTTATAGGCGTAATGGGTGAATATGAGCCGAAAATAGAGGTTCATTTCTCTGATATGGTTCCAGCTGCAAAGGGATCAGTTGTGACACTGGAGTGTTTTGCTTTGGGGAAGTAAGTGTGATTCCTCACCCTTTTGTAGTTACTGATGCCGCTTCCTTCCTTTACGGCTACCCTGACTTTTAATGGTACTCTGTCACTGAGCTTAATGTGTTTTTCAACTTGGCCCTTTTCCACCACTTCTCGCCACCTTTTAAACATGCTTGTCAAAATCTGTTTGGGAAATACCGTATAACAGTTTATTTTTGCCTTGAAGCAATTTTTCTCTCTCAATTGATCCCATTAGTGGATGAGCCATATACGTATTCCTTGCAAAAAGAAATGAGATGGAGTCTTATAAGGAAATGTAACTCATTTAGTATGTTAGAGCTGAGATATGAGGAATGACAGTGATCTACAATGTAATGATATTATACAAAATTTCTGTTCTTCATCTTCATCTTTTATGTCTCTCTCTCTCTCTCTCTCTCTCTCTCTCTCTCTGTGTTCTTTCTTTCTTTTTTCTCTCTATATATGTAGCTTTTTAATTTTTCTCTTTTGCAAGATTGCACGATATAGTTTTTCATACATTCAGCCCAGTTCCAGAGATAACGTGGAGGAGAGCGAATGGAGTGCCGTTTCCCAGCAAGGAGACAGTATGTAATGATATTATACAAAATTTCTGTTCTTCATCTTCATCTTTTATGTCTCTCTCTCTCTCTCTCTCTCTCTCTCTCTCTGTGTTCTTTCTTTCTTTTTTCTCTCTATATATGTAGCTTTTTAATTTTTCTCTTTTGCAAGATTACTCACCATAGTTTTTCATACATTCAGCCCAGTTCCAGAGATAACGTGGAGGAGAGCGAATGGAGTGCCGTTTCCCAGCAAGGTGAAGATGAAGAACTCAAATGTAGTTCTGGAGATTCCCAGTTTCCAGCAGGAGGATGCCGGAGGCTATGAATGTGTGGCTGAGAACAAGATGGGAAAGAACACAGTGCAAGGACGACTGTCTTTCCATGGTATGATTATTTCACTCATAGTACTTTTATATTCAGTGCACATGGTATGATTAATTTTTGCCATAAAAAAATGGGCCGGATTTTGCAAAATGTCACAGCAGTTTCTTGCAATAAATCACTGTATTCAGAGGTTTACAATGAAATCCATGCAGACTAGGTAGTTCCTCTTCAGGAACTCGAGCTGCATCGGAAACGCTAGGAGAACACCCTTCAGCGTGACGGGCTCTGAACCTCATGTGTAATCAGACCAATAGATGGGTGAGACGTCACGGGCGGGTGACGTAATGACCAGGCAGCTATAAAAGCACATGCGGTGAGACCAGCATCAGCTTTTTGTCATTCAGCAAGCGCTCTGTCTGATATCTGTTTGTTAGTCTTATTTAGTGTTGTCTGTCAAAACGAAATCTTAAGACAAAACCAGACACTAAGGCGAGGACAGGCAGCGTTCAGGCTGTGTGTTCTTCCCTGCCCGCGTTACTTTACGGGTGGGGATACACACAGTTTGTTTGTTGTCTGCTTGAGAGCAAGCACACAGAGTCAGCTCTCGAGAAAAAGGAGCTGACGGCCGTTTTGGTAGCATTTGTTACTGCCTTGCTTCGCTCTCAGAGGGCTCTCTTTGAGGAGAGAGCCTTCACTAGCGTTCCTTGCGGTGCCAGCCCCGCTTTCGCCGAGGCGGAGCGGCGGCTGTGCTCGTGGGTTTCGCATATGGATCAGGTGGAGGGAATGTAGACGGGCGCGTCCCTATCTACATCCTTAACCACCAGCTCCAGCGCCCACTCTCAAAGTTCGGAAGCCCGCGCTGCGGTACTTCCCCCCCCCCCCCCCCCCCCCCCCCCCCGCCTGTCTTTCTCCAAGGAGATTGATACGGAGGGCGTCAGAGAGCTCGCCAGTTGCACAAACACCAGTTACACAAGCATATTATGCCTGATATTATAATCAACAGCATCAATGGGGAGCGGAGCTCTCGAGAGAAAAGAAAAAGCGCTCCGCTCTCGCCGGGCACGCACCGAGTGTGTCCGTGCCTGTGATCTTGCGATTGCAGTCCCGCTGGTGCTGAGGCACGGCGGCGACTGAGTTCGGAATCGCATCTGATCTGGTGGACGTGTTGGAGACGGCTCGTCCCATCTCCACCCGTGTTCGCTAGATTTAGAGCTCGTTTGTTTGTCAAGGAGATTGATGTTGTTGGTTGGATTGAGTGGCTCGCGCGCTGCCGAGGCAACGCGTATATTACATCATTCGATTTCGATGTGAATCTTACTCACCGAAAAAAAAAAAAAAACATATTTAATAAATAAATTTTTCGAGAGTGAGAGCACGTGATTACCTCTCTTCCTCTGAGGAGGTTGAAGCGGTCAGCAGCGCACAAAAACAGAGCGTGGCCTCACGTACTCCCCCGTGTCGAGACAGTGGGTCGAGGCGACGCTCTAGGTCGGGGGCCTCGAAGTCTAAGCTGGATCTGCGGACCTTACTTAAGACTAATAGGTCCTTGGCCAAAAAGTCCTGACACCACTGGCCCAGGACTCATGAGGGCAGTCCCCTCTGGGATGCAACGGGTTACACCGCATTACACGGTGTCCGTCTCACCTCAGTGCCCTCAGGAGATCGGTCTGCTAACCCTGCCGGAGTTACAGGGCACTGCGGTCTCCTACGAGCGCCACTCGCAGCGTGGAAACTACTGCCAAATGTGTCTCAGTGGGTCCTGCACACTGTAGAGAGAGGCTACAGAATCAAGTTTGGTTCTCCCCCACCTCGTTTCAACGGGATTATGCCCATGCTGGTGGGCCCCAAGCAGGCTCTGGTCATGGAACAAGAAGTAGTTACTCTTTTGAGGAGGAGGCCATCGAGGTGGTCCCTCCTCATGCGAGGCAGTCCGGGTTCTATAGCCGGTACTTTATAGTTCCGAAGAAGGATGGGGGGTTGCGTCCCATTTTAGATTTAAGTCATTTGAACCGCTCAGTCATGCGACTGAAGTTCAGGATGCTTACTCTCAAGCAAGTCGTGTCTCAGATCAGGTCCGAGGACTGGTTTGTCACGATCAATCTAAAGGACACATACTTCCATGTATCCATCCTTCCCACTCACAGGAAGTTCCTGAGGTTTGCTTTCGGGGGCAAAGCGTACCAATATCGTGTTCTTCCTTTCGGCCTTGCACTCTCACCCCGCACTTTCACGAAGTGTGTGGATGCAGCCCTGGCTCCGTTACGACTCCAGGGCATCCGCATACTAAATTATATCGACGATTGGAGCAGAGCAGATGGTTGTTCGACATCGAGATGTCGTTCTCGCCCACATGAGAGAGCTGGGGTTGAGACTAAATGCCAAGAAGAGTGTGCTTTCTCCATTACAGAGGACCACTTATCTAGGTGTGGCGGATCGAGTACCGCAGTCGCGAGAGTCAGAGAAGGCCGGTCACTCACTGTCAAGCAGTTCCAGAGACTGCTGGGTCTGTGGGTCTGAGCGTCCAACGTGATACCTATTGGCCTGCTGTACATGAGGCCCCTACAGTGGTGGCTCAAGACCAAGGGGTTCTCCCCGAGGGGAAACCCGCTTCGCATGTTCAAGGTCACGCGGCGATGCCTACGTG